AGACAAGCTTAACTGGAATGTACTATAAAAAGCTACTTGTGCACATGCCCCTCTTTGCAGAAGTCAACACAGGATTGAATGTTGGAGGACATTACTGTGAGCTTGGCAGGCTGGATTGCTGCCAAGCCTTATCTGTTTGTTATGCTTGGCTTTCAGCCACCGAGGTTTTGGTTTCTTGTTATTAAAGTACATTCCAGTTAAGCTTGTCTCGGCAGTCGTTAGTGGACGGAGGAGGGGGTCAGAACAGGCACCATATTTGAAATCCTACAAGAAAAAGGACATGTCTATTTAAACCATCCATTTAGCCTCCATAAAGAGATTTCTTGTGTGACCCTTATAACCTCCTACAACATTGAGCAACATCATAACCAACTGTGACATTGAATTCTAGACAATTTTTTTTTTGCAATAAACCACAAGCACTCAGTTTTTCCATAAGACGCTCTTCAATTCTCACCACTTACCACATATTTACTTGTTTCCCTATAGTTTCATTTACGATACCATTGATTGACAATTCGAATTTTTATTATTGCTTAATACTTGACATAGCAGCTAACGCTTGTTCCTGGTATGTCACTTAGAATTGCAACTGGCAAGCATTCAGAATCACTCTTGAATCAGGAAATCTGTACATTATGCAAGCAGCAGCATTGCCTCACTTGAAAAGAATGCTCGTTGTGTGTCTGTTACGTTACAAACTTTATGTCAACTTTAATTTCCACCTGCTTTCCCCTTTTTTGCATTTAAAGGAAAAGCTTTAATAGAAGTGATTCCAGGAAACAGCACATTCCAAAGACAGTGTGCCTGTACTGCTGGCTACCATTGGAACAAAGACTGTGATTGTTGCCGTCGAAACACAAAATGTGCTCCTGGTTCTGGAGTGAAGTTTCCCAGTAAGATTTAAATTAACGTCTTTGAAAGTTTTGTTTTATTTGTCAACCCTGCTGAGTGTACTACTGATGAGCTGGATTGACAGTGGAGGTGTCCTGATAATGAAACTTCTTAAGAGAGTTGTGGTTTTCTCCCACATTGTTGAATATTAGATACCTAAAATTACACCACTGAAATTGGGGTAAATTTCAGTCCTGGATGATATGCCTCAATTAATCTTTTAATTTTATATCTTATTCTTTTATTTTTATTTTGTCTGATAGTTAACAGTTTTATCATGGGAGAAATAGTGTGTATAAATAATACTTAAACAGCAGGTTGGTTATTTAGCTCCATGATCTGACAAATGCGCCGTCAAAAACATGCCCACTAAAGCTTGCCGACAAAACCGCACCCACAAAAGCGCGATTAGGGTTTTTAGGTTAGGGTTAGGGTTAGGGTTAGGGTTAGGGTTAGGGTAAGGGTTAGGGTAAGGGTAAGGGTAAAGGTTAGGTTAGGGTTGCTAACGTTTTTGCGTCTCACTGTTGTTTGCTGATGGCGCGCTTTTGTTGGCGCGCATTTGTCGATGCGCTTTAGTGGGCGCGCTTTCGACATCACGGTTTTGTCGTCGCGCATTTGTCGGTGAACCATTTAGCTCATTCTTGGCATTATAATAGCATGAAAGTGTAGGGGTATATCTGTATGTACGTGGACCTGCTTATATGCAAAAATAATCTTTGTGCTTGTTTCCAATGCTTTGAAACATTTAAAAACCAGTGTTATATTTTATCCAATAAATAAATAGTTAAAAACGCGGAAGTGTTCTAAATAGTAACACTTCAGTGTGTGCCAAAATATCTTAAATATTTGGTTATCAGCAAATTGTTTTCAAGTGATGCTTTTCAGAGAAGTGTTTCTATGCTCAGTGTATTGTTGTATTTCCACAGTACAGCAAGATAAGAATACAGTGTGCGTACGGTGTCCCACTGGTTATTTTTCTAATGTCTCCTCTGCAACTGATCCATGCAAATCCTGGACAAAGTAAGTTTAATGTACATGTAACCGTGCACTAATAAAGACACAAAGGAAATCCTTGGATGTCTGTGTTGTATTGTATTTAGAAACACTGATGTTGGTTGCGGAAAATGAAATAATTCGTCATTGTTAGTCTCTGAACATAGCAATAGCAATAGCAGTTAGACTTATATACCGCTTCATAGGGATCTCAGCCCTCTCTAAGCGGTTTACAGAGTCAGCATATCGCCCCCACAGTCTGGGTCCTCATTTCACCCACCT